GAAGCACCTACCCGCCACCTCCCCACCGAGTGGGCCGAAGCACCTAGCCACCACATCCCCACCGAGACGGCCGAAGCACCTCCCCACCGAGCCGGCCGAAGCACCTCCCCACCGAGCCGACCGAAGCACCTCCCCACCACCTCCCCACCGAGCCGACCGAAGCACCTAGCCACCACGTCCCTACCGAGCCGGCTGAAGCACCTCCCCACCACCTCCATACCGAGTCGGCCAAAGCACCTCCCCACCGAGTCGGCCAAAGCGACTCCCCACCACCTCCCCACCGAGCCGGCCGAAGCACCTCCCCACCCAGACGGCCAAAGAACCACCCCACCAAGACGACCAAAGCACCTCCCCTCCCAGCCGGCCGAAGCACCTCCCCATCACCTCCCCACCAAGCCGGCCGAAGCACCTCCCCACCACCTCCCCACCGAGCCGGCCGAAGCACCTCCCCACCACCTGCCCACCAAGCCAGCCGAAGCACCTCCCCATCACCTCCCCACCGAGCCAGCCGAAGCACCTAGCCACCACCTCCCAACCGAGCCCGCCAAAGCACCTACCCACCACCTCCCCACCGAGCCCGCCAAAGAACCTAGCCACCTCCCCACCAAGTCGGCCGAAGCACCTCCCCACCGAGTTGCCCGAAGCACCTCCCCACGAAGTCAGCCGAAGCACCTCCCCACCGCCTCCCCACCGACCCCGCCGAAGGACCTCCCCACCACCTCCCCAGCGAGCTAGCCGAAGCACCTCCCCACCAAGACGGCCAAAGAACCTCCCCACCAAGACGGCCAAAGCACCTCCCAACCGAGCCGGCCGAAGCACCTCCCCACCGAGCTGGCGAGTCGGCCCAAACACTCCCCCAACACCTCCCCACCAAGCTGGCCGAAGCACCTCCCCACCGAGCTGGCGAGCCGGCCCAAGCACTCACCCACCACCTCCCCACCAAGCCGGCCGAAGCACCTCCCCACCACCTCCCCAACTAGCCAGCCGAAGCACCTCCCCACCACCTGCCCATCAAGTCGGCCGAAGCACCTCCCCACCGAGCCGGCAGAAGCACCTACCCACCATCTCCCCACCGAGACGGCCAGAGCACCTACCCACCACCTCCCCACCGAGCCAGCCGAAGCACCTAGCCACCACCTCCCCACCGAGCCCGACGAAGCACCTACCCACCACCTCCCCACCAAGCCGGCCGAAGCACCTACCCACCACATCCCCACCAAGCGGGCCCAAGCACCTCCCCACCACCTCCCCAAGGAGCCGGCCGAAGCACCTCCCCC